CACCTGGCAACTACTTTGGTTTATTTTGTGTTTAAAATTATGATTTTTAAAAAATTTTAAGCTGATGTCACTTCAGATTTAACTATTACTGCTGCTAGCACTAACTTAAGAAAGGTGGTCCAAGATAAAGACATATATAAAACAAAGAAAGATATGTAGATCTTTACATAAAGTAAGAGACACATTTTGCCTTTAAATTTCACCTTTGTATTTTTTTTTCTTTTGTAGCTTCCAACACACATCTTCAATGCCTACTAACTTATTAAGGTTTGGCTAAAACCAATAACTTAGCAAGTTCATAACGTTAAATTAACTTGTTTTTATTGCTACTCTTTTTAGCGGTGCCATCGTTTCCATAAACACCCAGAACCAATATTTTATGACATTCTTTGAGTCCTGCCTTTTAAATATTTCTCATATCAAATTGGTAAATTCTGTTAATTTTCCTTTCTTCATGTGTCTGTGTATCCATTACATTCTTTACTTTCTATTACTACCACCCTAGGGCAGCAATTTCCAAACTTTTTATCTCATGGCACACATAAACTAATTACAAAAATTCTGCAGCACATGAAAACAAAAAGTACTTTTTTTTACCAATCTGACAAAAAAAACACAAATATATATTTTTTTCATTCACACTGGATGGGTATTGTGTTAGCTCTTATCATTTTTTAATTTGACAGTCTAAAGGAAAAGAGGTCAGTGCCCCTGACTAAATAGTCAGGTATTAAATGTTCTGAAAATTTTTGCATCACACTGGTGAAAATTGCTGCTCTAGAATAAGTGCATTGTTTAATGTCTACAACATTATAAATTTCTAATAAAATAGATTTCTAATATCATTTAGAATATAAAGATATTAGAAATAAAATAAATTTCTAATATCATTTGCTCTACTTATTCCACAGCTTCTGTTCAAATCATTTTAGCAAATTGCCACTAGTACTGTCTCAGAGCATTTTTAGGGAGATTACAGTAACAATTATATTGTGGAAAGAACATAGAATAAAAAGATTCCAGTTACAAACAATTTTTATTCTATTCACTTAGGAAGAATTCTGAGACTTGATTCTATCATCTATTAAAAGGGGTAATATCTATTCATAGTATTCCTGCAAAGATTTAATGAAGTAATTTGTAAATGGTAATAACAAAACACCTGTTTCACCATGATGCTTAATGTGTATTTACTAAATGAATAAATATATTCTTATTTATCTATTTCCTTTCACTTAGCTAACCTGTTTACAAGTTGTTCCTTCCTCTACTCAACATTTTCAAATGCTGTTTCTCCCTCCAGGCAAGCTCAAATCTGATGTTTTGTGATCTCTCCCTATCTATTTTCACCTCTGTGGAAACCTTGATCACTTACGTTATCTAGCCTTAAATCGTGATTTAGCTTTTTTGGTTTTTGTGTCCCATGATTTTCTTTAGATAGGCTTCAAATGACTAGAGACATACTTTATACAAAGTATCAGGTGTTTCTTAGAGTGATGTTTGCAGTTGTGGTTACTTGTTTTTAATTTTTATGTTTTATTTGGCTTGCCCAGAATTCCTTCTTTCTTTTTTCACAAATGATAGTCTGACTTCTTTTTCATCATAACCTACTCTGACACCTCTAATCCCTGTGTAGACCAATGGTTCCACATGATACCACCCACTACATCTGAACACAAGTGCAAGACAAAGTACTTGCCTATCTGAGGAATTCATTCTCCTGCCCCAAGTAATTCATCAAAGGCTTGAGAGCCAAGTAGGGCCCCAGAATTTCTGTTGAAACAACTGGGGAGCAATAAATACCTCATAGGAATTACAATGTAGAATTATATAAATTAGAGTGATATTTAAAAAAGATATAGCTTGCAAATTAACCTAGTTAGGGAAAAAATAGAGTTGAGCGATGAAGACAAAGAATAAGAGATTTACTTACTTCTGGATCCATCTTTGCCCGATCTCTTAGCTAGAAAGTTTATCTCCAGACTTTTCATTCACGCAGACTAAAATTTACTTTTCCCTTAAGTTAATTTATTTGATTTTTTTCACTTGTAATCAAAAAAGAAATGTCTAATACAGTTCTGTTCTTCAATCATGAATATAATATTAACTGATTATTTTTCTAGCTTGCTCATAATGAACTTTAGAGGGAAAAAAATGTGGAATTGAATTATACAAATCCTTCCTCACTAATGAGGAAAAAAAGAAACAGAAGCACATTCTTCATAACTTACATAAATTTCATTATTTTGCTGTTTAAATAAGCACAGATTTTCATAACATTTTAAAAAGCTTCAAAGAACACTTCTATATTCCAATCTGTAAAAATATTTTCATTATGTTTATTATAAAAATATAAATGTTTCCACTACAAATTATTTTACATTAGTAAGAGGCCATCTACATTGTACAACATAAAGGAGTAGTTTTGAAAATACAAGTTTAAAGTAAATACATTTTGCCAATCATATCACATTTATACATGGTTTCATTGATACTTAGTACAGAAAAATCTGGGCAAGATATCAGAAATAAATAATATATGTAAATCAAATTTAAGATACAAAACAGATAATATGGTACATACTATTGTATGGGGACGTGGTTTCATGTTTATTGAAAGTCAATGCAGTTCCTGTACAAAGAGATGGCCATAAAGCATCTAGTACCTCTACTCCACAGTTTAGAATCGTACACTGTTATGTTTACATATGTACAGGGTAAGAATTGTGTAAAGTAAATTTATAAGAGGTCAGGTAGAAAAATAGTGAAAAAATGAAGAGCAATATACTGTGTATATAAACTGTACTTTCAAATGGAAACCACAGCCAAAATAAGTGAAGTAGATTCAACAATTCTCAACTTCTATTAGTTCATGAAATGCTCAGATTTTGTTGAATAAGCTCAGAATAGTACCTACAAAAGTAAAGTAAATGCCAGTCTGGGATAAAATGAGATTGAAGCCAGATTCAGATCTCAATCTAACATTCTACAACACAAAATATTTGATTAAAAAATGGTTTTAGCTGCTTCTAGCAGGTTTATGCAATTCTGTAATTAATTTCATAATCACATAGATCTTAAAAAATTCATGCTCTTAAATACCCAATATAGAATTATAGTTGGATATTTTGACTATAAGAATTATTGCCAAATTTAAGAAATAATCTCATATATGAAGAAATACAATCTAAGCCTTATTACACTAAATTTACAACAGACTAGCACTTGTGAATTTTGATCTGATTGTAAGCTGTATAATATTTCATTTCTTAATGAGAACATAAAGGTTGCAGCATTGTTTTAGCCATTCTATTCTTATGACATATGCATTTTTTATTCCCTTAACATGATCATATCATCATTAGAAAGAATATAGATAGAGCTAAAATGTTGCTTCCAATATATTAGTGGCTAGATCTACATCAGGTACAGCTTTTCAAATATTGCTGAATATGCTCATATTTGACCTTGATGAATATGGTAAGATTCCACAATGAGAGACTTCTCCACTGCCTACAGATTTTGAATCTGTTCCAAGATAACCATTTTATTTACTTCAAAAATAAAACAATTTTGAAAAGTATATGCTCAATAAATGCAAAGAAATTTTAATGTTTCTAATTCATACACCAAATTTACAAGAGGTGTATTTCAGTGGAAGACTCTTTAAAATACCAATACCTGCCATAGATTATCACAATGTTTACTTAATTTAACTAAACCTCAATTATTCAGATGAGTAGTTTAGTTATAATCATTCACTAAAAATAGCTTAGCAATTTTAAGCAAAGATATTAAGTTGTGTTTTTTTGTTTTGTTTTGTTTTTACCATGCATTGGCCAATAGGCTATATTGTCAATTAATGTAGCAATCAAAATAGGATTTCAATTATTTCCAGTGTAGCTATTCTTTATTTTGGAGCTTTAATATATCTTCTTTACCAGTGAATGGAATTAGTGGTTTCCTAAACTCCGGAGGAGGGCAGGTATGCCAATGACAATCCATTACTTACAAGCCAGTATATCACACTAAATTAAGAGCATACAATTTATGATAAATAGAGAGACAAAAATGTATGCAATAATTCAGACTGTGGGAGACTTGGTTAGTGAATGAAGAGAAAAAGGATTTGGTTTCTTTTTTTCTAGACAGATATGTAGGTAGGTAGGTAGATAAACAGACAGCTATAGATACATATAAGAGGATATTTCAAAAATATGGAAAGAAACCCATCATTCTCTATGTTCAGTTTACCATGTTTCCTACTGCTGACAGTTTGAGAGAGTATTTGGCACTTGGTTGTTAGCAAATCCAAATTAAATCATTGAAGCATAAATAGAAAACAATAAAAACAATTCAAAAGAAAATAAATATGTACCTTTCTTCAAAATTAAGACACATTTTTACATGATAATTCTTAATGAAGCTAACAATTAAAATATGTAGTACTTAAAAAAAACTACAAACTTCATTTCTATATGCTTTTAACAGATAAAAGATAATAATACAAAGAAGAGCTAGTAAATATGGCCAGATAGTTTGAGGTATAAATTCCTCTGTTTTGCTTGCTTTTAAAGAAAAAAAAAATACCTGTTACAGATTTCTTATGTGTATAAAAATATCACAAGTCTTTTCTTTTGTGGCTATTACTAAACAGAGCCACTATGTCATTTATGTTATTTCACTAGTTTTGCTTTTATCATAGTCAATATATGATCGATGGCTCTATGCTAGTTCTTCATCATTTCATGTTGAAGAATTTTTATTTATTCCTTCAACTAATATAAAAAATCACTTGCAAAACAAAATGTACCCCCCCACCCATTCACTAAATGATATGGGAAAATAAAGAGCTTTTAAATTCCATTTTAAGGCATTTGTACTCATATTTGAGTGTCTTATTGGGCTTCAAACTTCCCCCAGTGTTTCCAGCATTATCATCTGTCTGCAGAGTGATGATACATCTTCCACAGCCACCACTTCCTTCAAGAAATAGCCCTTTACACTGGAACTGGACCATTTTTTGATTGTGTTTCCAAAGCTTTAATGCTACTGATGATCTTCTTCTGTGGCCCAACCACAGTGACACCAACTTTTTTCATGTCACTGTAAAAAATGGAGAAAATGTCCAGTGAGAATCATGGTTTCCTAGATATATGCAAGCACGAGATTTTCAATTGACAAAGCTTGTACAATTATATATCCAGGGTTTTTGGCCTACTTATTTATATCTTTTATTTTTACATGATCCATATATAATATCCTAGCTATTTTACCTCTATTCTTGTTGAAGAACATAAATGCTATAGTAGGTTGAAGAGTCTCCCTTCAAAATTTCTGTCTCCTCAGAACCCCATAGGGCCTCTGAATATGTAATTAAGACAAAGATCAAACCTTGACTGGTATAACTCGGTCGGGCATTGTCATGCAAAACAAAAGACCATTCTTTTGATTCACAGTCAGGGCACAAGCCTGGGTTGCAGGCCAATCCTGGTTGGAGCATTTGCAAGAAGCAAACAACCAATGTTTCTCTCACACGTCCATGTTTCTCTCCCTCCCTTCCTCCTTCCTTCCCTTCACCTCTGTCTAAGAGTAAGTAAATAAAAATCTTTTGAAAAGACAAGGATCAAGATGAGGCTGTACTGGATTAGGGTGCACTCTAAATGAGGTTACCCTTATGAGAGACAGAAAAGGACACACAGTGACACAGTGAAGAGATCCATGTATAGATGGAAGCAGACTTTTGAGTTATGTTGCCACAACCAAGGAATGCCAGGATACACCAGAAGCTGGAAGAGATGAGGAGAGGTTTACCCTTAGAGACTTGTAGCCTTGCTAACACCTTGATTTCTGACTTCTGGACTCCATGAATGTGAGAAAACAAATTTTGCTTGTTTAAGCCAATAAGTTCATGGTAATTTGTTATGGTAACTCTGGGAAACTAATACAGGTGGTCACACATTATTTATGGGGCATTATTCTGTCCCCTTGAATCTGGACCAGCTCTGCGGCTGCTTTGGTTGACAGAGTATGTCTGAAGTGACACTGTATCAGTTTTGGCACTCAGGTTTTCAGAAACTGCTAGATTCAACTTATCTCTTGAGACACTCCCTCTGGGTCTCAAACTGCCATAAGAAGTCTGACTACCCTGAGACATTGGAGAGGTCCTGTGAAAGGGCTCTTAGTCTGCAGATTCAGCTATGTAGCTATGTGTAGCAGGAAGATAATTTAATGGTTACGAATGAAACCATCTGGAGCCCTCCATACTAGACCATATTCATATTAGGTGAATTCTTCAGTCAACACTGACACTACAGTGAAAAAATTACATGCTTAGCTCTGTTCAAATTCATAGCCCATGACATTGTGATATATAATAAAATTGATGGTTTAGCCTTTAACTTTAAACATTCTTTTCATGTATTGCTTCCTAGAGAGAGAAGAGAGAGAGAGAGAGATAACATTTTTTTGTTCTATTTATTTATTCATTCATTGGTTGATTCTTGTGCATGTCCTGACTGGGGATTGAACCCACAACCTTGGCATATTGGAACTACACTCTGACCAGTTGAGCTACCTGGCCAGGGCTAACATTTAAGCTTTGAAAGAATTTGTTTTTTAGTCATAGATAAGTAAAACAATTTTTTTAGGTGTATATTTTTTAAAGTAGAAAATGATAAGTTGTCTCTATCAAAGTAATTAAATTTGAAATAGTTTAAACTCAAAAGTCTGGTATTAGAATAATTATAAGAACATAATAAATTTTATTAAGAAAAAACAAGAGTTATATAAACATGTGCAAATCATTAATTAAATACCCTTCAATCAAGTAATTAGTTCCACATTCACCTCTTTCAGGTTTCGACTCAAACATTGCCATCTCAGGAGACCTTCCTGAGCCTTCTATTTAATATTGTAAAACCTCTCTGCAGTCATACCTCCTCTTTATATTTTCTTTTCCTGTTTCATTTTCTTCCAAGCAATTTATCACCATTCAGCATATTGCCTTTCTTTATGATTTATTTTCTTTATTTTCTGTCTTGTCCCTCAAGAAGGTAAATTCCACTTGAACAGACATTGTTGTTCGTTTTATACTCTGCTTATCAACCATACTCTGAACAATGGTTATCATTTAGTGGGAGTTCAATATATCCTTACTAAAGAATGAATCAATAGTTCAAAATATGTTTATCTGTGGAAGTTGACAGAGGAATAAAGTATCATGTGTCAAGGAGCACCAGGAAAATTGAGAATTGCAAAAAAACACACACATACACACATGCGCACGCACACACACACACACACACACAGAAGGGCTCCTTTATATTGAGCCTAAAAGAAAGAATGAGAAATTGGGAGGTTTAACTACATAGAAATGAAGAATGATTCTTTTAAAAGTAAGTGCCCAAGCAATATAAATATACAAGCACAAAATAGGTAACCATTTAAGAAGCACAAAGTTAACCAAGACTGGTTGCTCTCCTATCACCTGAGTTGGTAATGAAATTTCTGATGACCTGCAGGTCACCTCTTTGCTGCCATTCAAGAGGCTGATAAATATTCTATGACCAACTTGCATTTTGCCTGAGGTCCTCTCTGATCATATTCTTCACCTGCCTTGCTTCACCAGGAAGGCTAGTGGGAAATGACAGCAAGTTTGTCACTCTCCGAGTAACTGTGCATAATGAAAACCTCACTTAGAGTAATGTAGGCTGTTTACATTGACCCCTGCTTTTAAGAAAGTGTATTCTATTGGATTTTGATTCTTTACATTAATTGAATAACAAACATTTCACTACAAAGTCAAGTTACGAATCTAGAGCCAGAAAACAGGGCAGATATCAATGTATACAAATCAATATATCTTACTCTTTTTGTATTTCTCCTAAAATTTTTCTTCCAATTCTATATTATATATTTAATGACTCACTAATATTTATGTCTTGCTTTTCTTCTTTATAAGCTCAGAAAATGAAATGATAATTATAGTTAGCAGAGAAAAAATATGTTCCAAGGTATTGTATTAATTTCCTGAGCTCTTTGAGAAATTTAAGCATTGTGACAGAGTAGTATGACATAGCGCCATCTCTCTCTGTATCACCTGTACCTCAGCAGCTAGGAAAAAACCCAGAGGCTAAGAGTGAACAAAACTCTCTGAAGTTTTGGGGCTCTTGCTTCGATAGGAAGGGCTGTGCCTTCTGCAGCCCAATCCTTCCTCATCACTTCCTTATAGATGTACTTGTATGTTCCAAACACACTCCTCAAGAAATCTTCATAAAATTGTTTCAGATTCCATGTCCAGAAACCCAATAGAAGCAAAGAGATACATAATTTAATGGTTAATGCCAAGAATTATATTGGAAAGATAATTATCCCTTTAGGTTATGCTTTAGCATGGGTTTTATGTACTCTTTACTGTCTCTATCCCTTCCAAAATATCTTTGACCCACTCCCTGGACATGTCCAAAGTTGTTCTAAACATCGGCTGATGTAGTCTCAGTAACACTCTTCATATGCTTATGTGACTTTGACCACCCTATTCAGAAGGGCAGTGGAAAAGTTCAGGACTAAAGAACAACTTGGGATTGACACCAGAGGTTAATGAACTATCCAGTACTTCAAAGGCAAAGGGATAGGTGTTGGCGCTTTGAAAATGGCATCCAAGGGTGCAGGATAATGACATGTAGCAATTCATCTGCCTGATATTCATTCCACACACTTCATCCTCTCTCCATAGTCCATAGAAACTCTTGCCCTCTTTCATTCTCTCTTCTTTTCTCACATTAACCTTCCTAAATCCATCTTAAGCTATAAACAATATTTTAAAATATGTTTAGAGAATAAAATTGGATATTTTCTGTATATCATCTGAAAATTAGATGACTTGAGTAGCTTCCATATAATGATATCCCTAAACTAACTAGAATGAGTTAGTATTTATTTGAAGCTCTGTTGAACTTTTATTTTTGTGATTTGATAGCCTGGATAGAAAAAAATAATTTAATATCCCCCCCTTTTTTTAGGTATTGCTATTTTATTCTAGATGGATCTCTAGAGTTATTTGATCAAGGAAATCACTTCTGAACTGAATCTGGATGACACAAAGAAAATAAGAATTAAAAGGAATAAAATTCAAACAATAAGCCCAAGTCTGAAAAAAAGACCAACACTGAAATAAATATTTTATAACACTTGAGGTATAAATGGCGCCTCATTAAAATTACCCAAATAATTAATGTAGTATATGGTTTTATAAATTCTTATTTTTTTAGTATAAACTCATTGAGGAGACCTAAGAAATAATTGTTCTCAAGGAACTTTAGGTAAATATATCTTAATTCTATGTTGTCCCTGAATTGAAGAGAAAGGGCAGAAGAAAGAACATTGTGAAGTTTGAAATGCAGAGAGATCTGAAACTATCTGCCTCTGTGTAAAGGGTAAACCTGAAAGAGTCTCCCAGGAAAAGTCAGCTTTCATCTTTAATGTACATTCACAGATCGTATAAATAATAATAATAATAATAATAATAATAATAAACTGAAAATGTTCTAACCAGTGGAAAAGAGTTTACTATCCAACACTAGATTATTGAGACAAATATCTTGCTAATTTGGAAATGTAACAAATGCTGCCACTTAGCATATTTACAGCTTATAATGTAGGACTATATTTAAATTGTGAGCTGGCAGCTAATCATATTAACAATGTTCTGCCTCATCCACTTCGGTACTACAGTTTCATTATCTAAAAGCTATGAATGTTGATATTTTATTAAGAATAAACATTTGTATAACTTTGCCTTTGAAAATCTGGCAATGGTGCAGAAATATTCAACTTTGTATTTGTTCTCGCCTATGCTTCTGTGCTCTAAAACAAGCGTTTTGCATGTCATAACCCTGGCTGTTTATGTTACTAAAATAAAAATTTATAAAAATATTTAACTATATTAATATATCCTGGGATTATGTCCAATCAAAATAACTGCTATAAAATTCAAGGCATATCGTCGATTGGGTCAGAAATCTATTCACCAAACAGAGCATTTCTTTCTAAACAGGAATGCCAACACAGGTTAAATAGACTAGAGTAAGCTTATTTCTTAAAAACAATTCTCCTCTTCATTAGTAATATATCAAGTCCTTTTGTGAGTTCTTGTGATTCTGACTGGAATATTTATACAATGAATGGTAAAATTCTTTACCTATTGATTAGGCACTTATATATCTTTATTAATTACACTGCATATCCCTTTTTGATAGCTTATCTGTAGCTCTGTGTATAGACTTTTTAAAAATGACTGACAGAGTGACAATGAAAGTATTTCAATATTTAGCAACATTTAAATATTCAAATATTAAATAAATGAGATTAAGACTAAAAGGAATTTCAGGGCAATAGTTTTGTTTTAAGAAACAAAGACGAAAGGTAGAAGACTCTGAAATGAAGATGTACAGAGTTTCCAAACCGTCCAAACCACAAAACTGTGTACAAGCTTTGCTGTATCTGCCCAACTCAAAAGCTCTTATTTTTGAAACAGTTCTCTATTTTAGCCTTAAAAAAGGTCCTCTAGAGCCAAGTTCAGGCTATCTTCCTTCTCCTCTTTTGAACATAAACAGTCATTTAAAGTGAAACAATGCTTTGAAGGTGCCATCTACAAACAGGATTGACTTCACCAGAATTTTCTCCTGAGGATTTAGAATTAAGAGATTCGGGCTCTAGTCAGCTGAGTAGCACACCAAATTGTGTAATCTAGGTCTGAGAAAGCCGTTTTTAGCTATGTTCATGGGAATGCATAAAAAGTCATTTTTCAGGGAAAGAAATGATGCAGATTATATTAGTAAGCAAAGTAAATTGGCTTTAATCTACAGAGAGATGAAGAATATGACTTCTAGCTCTTCACTACCACTTCCCAATTACCATGTCTTGTGGATGAAGATGAATGTTATGAATTATTCAATGGGTCCAGTTGCTAAACCTTCTTTCCTTAAGCCCACGGGTTTCTCTTATCAAAATATTTTTATTATCCAAATATCCCTGTGTAAGAAATATTGCATATTTTACTTGATTATCATTGGCTTTTCACACAGAAACATATCAATTATGCATACTCTGTCTTTCCAAACCAAATGTAAACCTTTTAGGACAAACAGTAAAGTAATACCTTAAACCTATTTGTAACAATTTTCAAGCATGATATCCTTCATGGACTTAATAATAGATGATGCTATGTTTATTTCATAGCTGTAAAAACTACTTTAGCATGTTTCCCTATATATCAGCTTCTCCACTTAGTTCTCAGTTTTCCATTTCCACAGAGGCTAGGTTTTGTTAAAAATAACAAAATAAAAAATTCAGGAATATACTAATCATCACACTATATCTGCTTATGTTTCAATGTAGGGGCTTGGGTCTGTGAAGTTAGGCATAGACATGTATCTGTTGGTCGATCTGAAGGAAGTCATAATTCAGTGAAGCCACCTATTGTGAGAGAAGAAAACATATTAACATATATCAGTCCAAAAGATGTCATTTAGAAAGAAGGACTCAGGATCAAGATCAGTGGTTATAGGAGACAGCAAGTACCTCAGAGGTTCAAGTAATATTGATAATACATTAGTCCAAAACATATATGTTCAATAAAAGTTTAGAATCATTCAGTCTTCTTAAAAGCTTTTTCTTACTCTGTGGAAATCTTGGCTATGGTGTCACAAGAACTGTATTCCACGCCTGTGAAGATTTCTTTGCACTGTGCTGTCCGGACACCATTAAGCCAGTCACCTGCTGTGCGAAAGGTAGAGATGTCGATGTTGCTTTGGTCCAGAAGAAGGTTTGATGGCCTGCAAGGAAAGAAAACACCGAAAGGGGAGACATCAGGAGTCAGCAGAGTTGCTGTATGTCAAAATTTGAAACCATTTTAAATCGCTAAAACTATGCCAGTGAAATGCATAAGTATCTCCATATATACTTTAATAATTTAATTTGTTTAACCATTAGTAAACATGGTCTTATTTTGGGATACAAGTATTCCAAACATGACAAACTAAATAAGTTGTTGTCTACGTTATGTGAGGTTTGGCTTTCCGTATGAAATCCATTGTACAGATTACTGTCTAAAAGAGAGTTTGAAAAAACCTAAACTATACTTATAGCAGGATATAAAGTCAGCACAGGTTTAAGTAATGTCACAAATGTCATTAAAAATAAAATTTACAAAAGAAATGGAGAAAAAGTGATAAGTAAGCAATGAAATCCTCACATATGTGAAAACACCAATATGACTTCATTATAATATAATGAACAGAGTTCATTATATACAACTATATAGAATTCACCATACATGTACCTTTATATGTAGAGAGATGATGATAGATAGATGACATATAGTAAAAAGGGGCTGACTCTTTTCATATGACTTATTTTAATAAGCGTGATATAATTTCATTCATAGGTGGGATATATAACAGAAAACAACAAACAAACAAGATGATAAAACAAACAAAAATGCACAGACACAGACAATAATAGTATGGTGGTTACCACAGAGATAGGGAGTGCTCAAGAGATAAAAGAGGGTAATGAGGGTCAAATATATGGTAAGGGAAGAAGACTTCTCTTTGGGTTGTGAACACACAGTGCAAAATGCAGACGATGTATTATAGAATTGTACACTTGAAACTTAGATCATTTTATTAACTAATATCACTGCAATAAATTTAATAAAATTAAAGAGAGAGAGATTGACTGATTGTTACGGTGATTTATATTGCACAATATAATCAGCATTAAGAAGAATGTCTAGGATTGTTTTATATAATTACAGGTCTAACGAATAAATCTATTACCAACTGTAATATAGTGAATCAAAGGGATGTAAAAGGAATGAAAGAGATCATATTTTCATCCATGAAGAACACAGAGAAGCTGTGTGTTGGTGAACTGTCCTTGGGTTATGTTTTTTCAGCTATCAGTGACCTCTTTAATCTTCCTTTAACTCATTAGAGTGGGACCAATCACCAGGTGGAAATTGATTGTATTGCTATTCTTTCCTCTTAGAAAAGTCCCTGGGTTCAAATAACCCATAATGTTTATTTATACTCTTAGTTTACAGGATTAATATGTTAAAAATAACTATCATTTTTTTTTGGTCAAATAATTGTGTTGTGGCTGTATTGCCACCTCTTACCTCAGTAGCCTAGCTCTTAATGAAACATGAGATTGGGTAGATGAATCAGGGCTTTGAGTCATGCAGGAGAGCAGGATTTATATTCACTGTATTTATTGAAGAAAGTCCTTCTTAGAGAAATGCACAGAGGACAATTTGAGGGTGGGATCTTTTTGATGCATAGTGCATTAATTGTCAGCAAACTTCTAGGCCTTTTTTGCTGTGGGCCAAATGTCTCCATGGACATTTTGAACAGGATACTTTCTTGCAAAGTGTCATAACCTAATCTTTGTCTTATAATTGAGAGTATACATTTGGATTTTTACCTCTTCAGAGTTATCATTCAGAAACTTTCATGTTTTGTGATACTGCAGTTGAATTTAATCAGCAGTGAGCTTTTGAAAATTTTAAAAATTATTTTACATTTTTTAATATTAGTGTTTTTTAAATTAGAGCTTCACATTTCATATATATAAAAAATTAATAATTTGACTAAGTAAGATTCATCATTTGAAATGTTTAAATTCAACGTTCAGAATTAATTTTCAAAGACACCAAAACAAATTAAAAATATGTTGACATGCACTTACCCTTATTTTAGAAACAAATTTAGTTCAAGGTACCAGTTCCAATATGTTCAGAAATAGCATGAAATAACAGCAAATGATCTTCCCAGACCCAATTATACTGTATAGTGTTTTACCTATGAATACCAAGCCTTGATTATCATCTAGGGTATGTGGTAAAATCTTATGTTCTCACGAGAAAATATCTCTGTAAGCAAATCCATATAAAAGCCAATTCTATCTGCATTTCAAGGGAATTTTTAATTGGGTGATTTCTATTACTTTGATGATATTTCTTCAACTCCCTTGCTGACATGAGACATGCGTAAATGTGAGGTTAAGATTTTAAAATCTGAAAAATTTTATATCATGCTGTAGACATGTGTCCTGTGGTTGGGGACACATAAGAGGAATGCAAATTAACGATTTGTTTGGATTTTGATGGAGATAAATTTATTTGAAAAAAAAGTCAAATTTTAATGCTGAGTTTAAGGGAAAAAAGTCAATGTAACAATTTAGTTCTGCCTATGTATTCCTTCTCTGTCAAAACTATAGTTCCTTCCCTGGCATAATCGTTTGTGAAGTGGAGGAGAGCTGAAAGTGCAAGACTTTTCAATTTTCTTTCCCTTGGCCTAAACTCTACTTCAATCCTCTCTACCTCAAGCATTTTGATTATAAATTAAAACTTTCCGTTATAAAATTTATCACCTTCATGTGTTATAGTTTAATTTAACCCTGAGGTTACCTTTTTTTAAAAAGTAGAAATGAAACATAGGCATTGTTTTACAAAAGACTAATTTTCTTTCCTTTAGGAATATAAACACTACAAAATATAAATATACCATTTTATAAATTATTCTCTATGTAACATATAAAAATAATTTTCTATGATTCTTTTAAGTTAATAATCTGATAAAGAAAAATGTTTATTTTAATAAATGAAAATCTCTTTTTTCTTTAGAATTTATTTTAAAAATTGTTAGCATTTTGTTTTTGGTTTTTTCCTAAGAAATTAAGGAGCCCAGGCTCCATGACTTACATGATATTTTGGGGTTGTTTTGGCATGGCCCGAATGGGTGAAACGGCCTTTCTCACTAGCCAGAATTAGGTATAACATTAGATTCATTGGAAAAGTCATTGAATCAATAAAAAATTGATAGAAATAATATTAGATCAGGTGTGGGAAAATTTTATAAAGAAAATGAAATGAGACCTAGAAAGAAGACAATGATATATTAAAATATCTACAAGACATGCACATCCCTCCCGCTCCCCCTGCTTGGATTTCTACAGTAGCTGTACATGGGCTCTAATGTCAACTGTTGTCAACTCTTGGTTTCATGAATAGCAATACTTTTTTATTTATGGGTTCTTGGATATTAGGAATATTCAGAACATTTATTCAGAATATTTATGAAACATGCTTAATAACAAAGTGCAGAATTTTTTCTTCTCAGTACAAAATGGTTTGTACTTTAAAATCCAACACTATAGCCAGACTCAACAACAGTTTAGAGAAAATTAGTATAAACAGATTGAAATAGAACAGGATGTGTGGATTAGGGATTAGAGTGACCCCAACCGAGTTTTTCTGTTTATTACTTGGATCAAAGTACAATGAAGAAAAAGAATGACCTAATTTTAATGCCAGTGACCTCAGAATAACCAGCCCTGCAAAGTATCATTTTTCCACTTCCAGGATTTCTCTGGGGAATTCAAATAAAATTGGCTCCTTTCCTCCTCCGAGAGGACATCTGGAGAGTTTATCAATGGATAGGAATTTGTCTCTCACTGTGAAGAGCCTGTGATGTCTCTTCATGTACACCAAGGGAATGTGGGCTTTGTGAGCAGCTGCAGGCATTGGCGTTTTTTTAGACCCAGCCCCAGACATTGGGTCTGAAGGGGAAATTTATAGACTGGGTGATGTGCACCGTGAGCTCACACTTTTACTAGACAAATTAGATAGGTTTCAATCCATGCAGCTGTAAACGATGTCCTGCAGAGTTCCACCTGATCTTTTACAGCTTTTCATAAATCAGTACCTACTGGCCACAGACCACAGTCATTAAAAAGAAATCATGGAAATTATATGTTTGCTCAAGGGAAGCAAAAAATAACTTTCCTCCCCTTTTCTCTCTCTCCTTGTTTTATTTGGGTTTTTGACTTACTCTTTTATGGATATTCATACTGTTACATTAAAGAGGTACACCTATATTTTCTTCCCATCAACTCTTATTTTATCTGTAAATGCTTTCATACCAATTAGCCCAAGATACTGGGAAACAAATGTCAATAAGTAACGTTAGCCAGTACCAAGAATATTTTTGCATAATGATCTTATTTCATAGTGCATAATTCTAAACCATTAGGAATGAATGCTCAGTTATATTTTTGTAGCATATAAAGACTCCTTTTGGTTTACAAAGGGCTTTATTTTTAGGTATTAAAATAATAATACAAATTTTTGAATGAATAAGTAAATGTTTACTGAGTATAGAAATATATATCAATAATATTGGAGATATATGCTATACCACTATATTTATTTACATTTTTCTGTAATTGTAAATAGTTTCAGAAATATATTAACTCTAAAGAGTAATCTCTTAAAACAAATATTATTTCTACCTTTATTATTGCATGAAAATTGCAATATAATTTTTCAATATCTTTTATAATTTAGTGTTTTTTAATTATTTCAAATGATGAAGCTATAATTCAGGGGGAATCTTGTTTTGTCATTTTTTGAAAGTGTGGATTTAAAATGACTTTGATCTTATCTCTAACATTAAAATTTCAGATAAGATTAAATAAATTTAATTTGTTATCAGCAATTAAAATAATTTTCCCAACAGTAGATTAAGTATGTAAATGACTCAGGAAGGAGACATAAAGTTCTTGTGTTTATTTTAGTTATCTCTAGGTCTTAAAGGCAAAAATTTTAGCAGTTATAGCTATATATCTCGTTTAATTCCTCCCAGTGGGAAAATTACCTACTTTGATGTTTAACTTTAAAAATAAAGAGATCACCTGGGTATTTAGCATCTCTTTGCTTCCCTGTAGAAAGTTCAGTATCATATTTGTTCAGTGAGGAATGTCACCCTGTCAG